TTTGAAGATTTAAAACAAATTAAGAATAAATTGATAATTTTAACATAATAAATAAGTTATTAATGTGATGAGGTGGCATACTTATGTGGATTAAATTTTTTTTTTTTTGGTACATAAGAGTTGATAAAACAAAGCAGAAAAACTAAGACCGAGGGAACAACGTCCCTACGGCATCCCTATTAAGAATGCTGGCAATTCCGACCGGAGGCTCTGGAAACATAGTGACACCATGAGAGAGGTTTTGGCCAATAGCAGCCATATAATCTGCTGCAAAGTTACCCTCCCTAAAAGTATGCTGCACATGATACTCAGAAAACGTTCTTAGAAGATGGAGAATGTCAGAAAATAGGGTCCAAGCTAAGCCTTCCACCCCTTCCTTTGCCTGCAGCATGTGAACCACTAGGAGAGAATCCATTTCCAGGATCAAATGGGTGATTCCGAGATCAGATGCCATGCGCAAACCCTCTCTACACCCCGAGAGCTCTGCCATAAAACTGGATTGATGCCCAATGCTCAAAGAAAAACCATGGACCCAACGACCTTCATGATCACGAATCAATCCCCCAGCACTCGCTTTCGTTGTAGCATGATTCATGGCTCCATCTGTATTTAGCTTAAAGAAAGGAAGATCGGGAGGGTACCATCGTACCCAACGAGAGACTCGAGGACAGCTTGAAATCTGTGTAGCCAGTGCTAATCTGGTGTTCATAGCTAAGGAAGTCGCCTGTTGAAGCACAATTTGGGGTGGAAGCCGCTTGTCTTCAAAGATCAAAGCATTTCTACTTTTCCAGATGTACCAAAGGAGGGCTAGGAACAACATGGACCACAGCTGACGAGACTCTCCAATTGAAGAAGTGGAAGTTGCATTTTGGTAAAGCCAGCCATCTAAGTCCAAGTTAAAGAAGTTTGCTGGCAAAGGTGTAGATTCCCATACCAGCCGGGAATAATAGCAATCTCTTAGTAGATGCAATGGAGTCTCCTGATCTTGTTCGCATCTTGGACACATGGGTGAAGATGCAAAATGCCGTTCGAATCTAAGGGAATTTGTGAATAATCTTCCTCTCCACAAAAGCCACATAAACATTTTTATCTTCTCAACACAATGCAATTTCCAAATCCAACTCCAATTCCGTGAATGGGTATGGATATTAATGGACTAATTTTGCAACAAGTGAAAGGCTGTTTTTACTGAAAAAACTCCAGTATGTGAGCCCGCCCAGTACATTCCATCCTCTTGATGTCCGAAAGATGGTAATGGTAAAGCCGAGATTTGTTCAACCACCAACTCTGGGAGAAGTTGCTGCAGTACCTGAAAATCCCAAGTCCTATCTGGATTAATTACATGAGAAACAGGAATATCAATCTGGTCTTCGAGCACTGGAATTAAAGCAGCATCCAACAAAGGCCTGTCGCTGACCCAAGCATCCTGCCAGAATTTGATCTTTTCCCCACTACCAACTCTCCACCGAAGGCCTAGCCGTAAGACATCTCTACACCGTAAAATACTCTTCCACGTAACAGAGGAGGTTGAGTTGATGTTGCAGGACATGAAACTTCCACGCTGAAGGTATTTTTGAATAAAAGCCCTGCACCATGGCTTCTCCGGGTTAGATAGCAATTGCCAACCAAGCTTTGCTATTAAAGCCCGATTATTATCCTTAGCCGAACGTATCCCAAGACCCCCTTGAGTTCTGGGTAAGCAAACAGAGTGCCAATTAACAAGATGGGGTCTATTTGCCACATCGGACCCCCAAAGAAAATTCCTATTCAATCGATCAATAGCTGCACAAACATAATCTGGAAGAAGTATTGACTGCATTGTGTATGTAGGTATTGCAGAGGTAACTGTTTGAACCAGGATCCTTCTCCCTGCTATGCTCAACATTTTCTGTTTCCAGCTGGATAGCTTTACTTGGATTTTCTCAAGTAAGTGCTTATAAGTATCTTTTGTTTGCCTTCCATGTAAAATGCGAACTCCCAAGTACATTCCCATATCACTTGTTAAAGGAATTCCACAAGCATTACTGAGAGACGTTGCTATATGCCTTTGTATATTCTGCGAGACATAAAGCTTAGATTTAGCTAAATTAATGTCTAACCCAGATTCCATTGAGAATTCTCTTATACAGTCCATGACCACTTCCACTTGATTTTGAGTTGCTGTACAAAAAAGCATGAGATCATCGGCAAAAAAGAGATGTGAAAGCTCTAATCCTCCTCTAGAGATTTTGAATGGTCGCCATATCGGGGATTGCACGCGGCTTTGAATTTTGTGAGAGAGCTTCTCCATGACCATAATAAAAAGATAGGGGGATAGAGGGTCACCTTGGCGTAATCCTCGCTGTGGTTGAAAGGGAGGTAACTCTTCCCCATTCCAGAGAACACTTAGTTGTAAAGAGGATACTGAGAACATAATCAATCGGATGAGGGGAGTTGGTAAATTAAAATCTTCCAGAACTAAATGGAGGAAATCCCAATCAACACTATCAAAGGCCTTATGAAGATCAATTTTGAATGCAAGAGCACCCTTTTTACCTCTTGACCTACACATTGAATGGACAGCTTCCTGAGTGAGGAGGATATTATCTGCAGTGCTTCTTCCTGGAAGAAAACTACTTTGAAAAGGCCCAATTAAGTGTTGTAATAAGGGCCTTAATCTGTTCACAATAACCTTGGCAAGCACCTTATAAGCCACATTCAATAAACAAATAGGACGAAATTTTTGAATAACATCAGCATTTTCACCCTTCGGTATGAGAACTATGTAAGCCCGAAGCAACGAAAGTTCAAAGTAGCCATCTAAGAGAGAACGATTGATGAAAGTCAGCAAAGTATCAGAAACTACCTCCCAATGCTTTTGGTAAAAGATAGGTTGAATACCATCGGGACCCGGGCTTTTAAGGGCTTTCATAGAGAAGAGTGCAGATCGAACTTCATCTAGGGACACAGGCAATAAAAGAGCAACACTCTCCTCGTCGGACAGCCTCGGTTGAAAAGCAGAATAATCCAAATGAGAAGACTGAGTAGGCTTCCTCGAGAAAACCTCTACAAAGAAATCTCGAATGTGTTGTTGTAAAATAGAAGGATCTTGTACCCAGCTTTCGTCAATTTTCAAGACCGAAATTCTATTTCGACTCCTCTGAATTACAGTGGTTGCATGATAGAAGCTAGTGTTTCTGTCACCTGAAGCAATCCATTCCACACGTGACTTTTGACACCAAAATAGCTCTTCCGAATGAAGAACACGATGGTACTCTATTAGTAACTCATACTCCAAATTCTGCAAGAATCTAGAAGAAGGATAATGAATAGAATTTTGGATACCCGCCAGACGACCCTTTAAATGCCTTTTCCTGCGAAAGAGATCACCAAACACCTCCTTATTCCATTGCAGACATTTCTTTTGCACAGAATTTATGGCATTTACAATTGAGGATCCATGTGCAACCCAAGCATTTGTAAAAACCTGACCAAAATCATCATGGGTTAACCAAGCAGCTTCAAAACGTAAGGGTTTAGATGCCTTACATAATAAGGGGGGAGAATCCAAGCAAAGTAGGACTGGATGATGGTCGCTGCATATCCGTGGGAGATTAATCACCTTAGCATCCGCAAAAGATTCAAGGGCTAAAAGATTGAAAAGTGCTCTATCCAACCTTTCCCGCAATAGTACTCTGCCATGTTGTTTACGAACCCAAGTGAACTTGCAACCCAGTGAATCAGTGGAGTGTAAGCCACAACTTGAAACTCTGTCTCGAAATCGTTGGGTATGAGCAAAGCTCCTTATTGCACAAGGAGAAGCTTCGTCAATTGATAGAATATCATTGAAGTCACCCATCACTATCCAATTTTCGGTAATTTGTGAGGCGATCTCCCTTAACTGACACCAGAATATGTCTTTTTGAGTAACATGCGGCTGAACATAGACAAAAGTAAGCAAACAAGTTACTTGCTGTTGAGAGACAATACAATGAATAAGTTGGGAAGAACTATGTAAAACATCCAAGCACACTGTAGATGAGCGCCAAAATAACCAAATACCACCAGCCATGCCTTGTGAGAAAACCTGATGGTCCCTATCAAAACCAAAACGCCTCATGAAATTTAGAGCAGTTGTCGATGAATCCGCTTTAGTCTCAAGAAAACAAATTATATCAGGACGCTGCATCTTAATGAGCTCTTTGCATTCTCTTCGAAAAGGGCCATTCTTGACCCCTCTGCTGTTCCAAGTGACAACTTTCATTGGGAAGAGGTTGAGGATGGGGCGGCTGTGGTTGGAGAAACAGCCAGAATGTGCACTTGACCGACATGCTGCGGCGAGAGGGAGGGCTCCTGTGGAGTAGTGATCTGTTGAGGATGTGTTGCGTCTATTTCAGAAAGAGTCGGAATAGGGACTTCAGCTTGGGCACTAGGTTGCGGAGGGTCTGAGGAACATGGCATAAGTGGTGGAGGCATGGATGGATGAGCGATCAAGGAGACAGAATCCCCTGACGAGCTTTGTACGATTGGTTGGATTGAAGGCAGCATCTGAGTCGTGTGAGGTAGATGTTTCTTGAGTGCGGGAGGCAATTCATAAGGTTTTTGAGTGGAGATTTTGGTGTCTTTAGGTATTGGGCCTAAAGTCTTACCCTTCCTCTTGGAAGGTTTGGCGTTGGGCTTGACAAACATCGTTGACGGAGCTGGAGGAGGAGTTGGTCCCACTGTCTGATGGGAACCGTTTTGGGTTTGTGTAGTTTTATGTGTCTCAGGAATTTGGGTGGGAGTTGCGTCCATGGGCGCCACGACCTCGTTTGCTTTCGAAGATTCTCCTGCCAAAACATGCGGACCATTAAGGGCATGTAAAAGATCCGTTTCCTTATCCATCACCTCTGCAAATACCTCAAACCGGTTTTGCTGCGAATTAGATTCCCCATAACGCCTATCACGTTTAGTAACTGCCATAGTTTTTGCCGAGATTCCTGCTTCCGTAACGGTTGGGACCTCCGGTGGTCGAATGTGGCTTTTGTTAGTAGCCTGAGACTGGCTGAAATTAGCCTGACTTCGTCGCCGTGACTTACGCTGCTGCACCATCCATGGGCCAAAAACCATATTATTCTCCACCATTTCTGGCTTTAAAGCTTGAGTGAGCTCTGTCATGGCTCGAGTGCTTGGGTTTCCAACAATTGCTGACTTCTCAGGATTCTTGTAACGGCAGGAGTCCTCCGTGTGCCCAAACTCACCACAGTGGAAGCAGATCTTATGTAGACTTTCATATTCAACTGGGATGGGAATTTGAGGCAAATCCTCCAAATCTAAGTCCACTGAGGATGGCAATTTTTGACTGAGATCCACTTCAACGCAGACACGAGCAAACTTCTCTCTGGTCCCTAACAGAGTGACGCTGTCCACCTTAATTGGCTTGCCGAGTTTGCTAGCAAGATATAGCACAATGGCCTCCTGATAGCACATACTGGGCACACCATGAAACTTAACCCACACAGCAGTTTTGGGGGCTTTTGCTGTAGCTGGGTGAAAACTTGGCTCCCATGGCTGCACAGCCAAGTAGTGATCAAAAAATCTATAAGGACCTCCTGTCAAAACTCGAGAGCAATCTTCTGGTGTAACAAAACGCACTATAAAGTAGCCCATACCCACATCAATAACCTCAAACTCATGCTCCGTTCGCCATTCTTTGAGTAATCTGGAATGGAGAACATGGAAATTGATGGATTTTCCCAAAAGCTTGATTATTACTGCGTTCTTCCATGGGGCACATAGCCGCTGCCAAATAGATTTGGGAATCCTGACTTTAGGGACCTTTGTTTGCGACGGTTCTGCTCCATCATCTATCATCGGAGACTCAGGATTTGCAGCAACTAGCTCTTCGTATGTCACCAGAGGCGGAGTGACAGATGAATTACCAGTAATAAGGGTGTCTCGAAACGATTTAGGCGGGGGTATATCTCCGAGGGGTTGATCGACTGGGTTGGGAGGATCAGGAGGAGTTGCAAGAATATCAGGCGGCGGTGGCGGAGGAGGAGGTGGGATGCTCGGCACAGACGGCGGAGGGTTGAGAGAAACCGAGGAACTCATTATTCGTTATAAAACTCTGTAAAATGCTGATTAGGAATAAATTACCACTGATCTATGAACGCTATTAAACACCCCCACCCCACCCCCTTTTTTTTTTTTTTTTAATTCTAAAATTAGCTGCTTGGCATTTTGGTTTAATTTTTTGACGTTACATTTTCAATTATTCCTGGGACGGTGAGCTAGCCGGTTTGAGGTTACCTGCATTTTTTTAACCTCTTACTTTTATAAATTAAAAACAAAATTAAGGT